CCCAAAAAAGAGGAAGGGTGCCGGGAAAGATTGATCTTGATGTGATTGAGTGTGTCGGAGGCAGGGAAGAATGAGAGAGGTAGGAAACCAGTTACAGTACATGTAGCATTCTTTTGTAAAACTTTTACAAAAGAATGCTACATGTACTGTCTGACACATAACACTACGTTTTTGATGATGGCTTTTTGATGGCTCTGATATCTAGGTTTAGTTTTTGGAAGTCAGTTAGTTTGATGTCAAGTGCTCTTGAATATGTTCATAATACAATCACTTTCAATTTTTTTTTATGGCTCATGTAACCATTTGGGCAAGTACAGGCTGTACATTTCCAAATTGTGTATTTCTTTTTTAAAAGCAATCTTAAACTTGTTTTCAAACAGTTTGTAAGCAGACTGTTAATGTGCGTAAGCAACTTTCACGAGAAACAAGGCAATTTTTTGAAGCAAAGATATTAATTTTGTCTTGTGTTTTCCAGAAAATAGCTCGGCGAGTTTCTGTTGTGGACCAAATAGGCTGGGATGAAGCCAAACAAGAAAGATGCAAAAAATTCCTTATCTTTGACTACACAAGCTCAGATAAAAGTGAGCTCTCCGAAGATGAAACTGGGCCAGATGTGAAAAGATTTGTCACAAAGAGGTTGGCCTGGGAGGGACCAAAGCTGAGAGAACTCAAGGACGTCCTTGACCTTGCCCACAAAAGATCATTAAAGCCCCATGTCAGAAATTTCCAGACAGAAAGAGTTGTTGACGAGAGATTCTCTTCACGAGGCCCCCCTCCAGATGCCCCTAAATGGAACTTAAAGAGTGGTTCTTCTCCAGTGGCTACAAGCAAACCTGCACGGGGAAGACAGTAATCTGGAAGTGTCCCTGCATGTATGAAAGGGCTGGCACCCTTGTTTTACGTCGTCAATTTCAGGCATATTTCACTGACCTACTGAGCCTCAAAATTTTATGAACCACATTGGTTAATTGCTTGTCAATTTCTTATGTTTTTAACTTTCTTTTAGAAATAAAAAATTTCAATAATAGTTTTATTTTTAATTGAAACGTGAGAAATGGCCAGGCCCTTTTATACTGGGCTGAATAATATAAACCTCTTGCTACGTTACTGTAAAAATTACAAAATCAAGTTGAAGAGTTATGACAATAAAATAAATTGCAATTTATACAACACGTGTTGTTATGGGTCAGTGCTTCAAAGGCATGTACGGCATCGTTTAACGAATTCGTAAAATATCGCAAACGTTCTCGATACGACTTTTTGCATTACGCGCTATGATAGCGCATTACGTTGATGTTGTCACGAGCTCACATTTGTCATAGTCTGATTAACAAAAAGGGAATGTTGCCAAAAAATCCAGACAACCGTAAAATGGCAAAGGGGAATGTGAATATTGTCCATTTACGATAGTTTAATAACGCGTAAAGATCGCCTTTCCGATCGCTTTACAATCGCCGTAAAAATATCGTAAATATTCTCTATCTTTTCAAAAATTATGGCAAAAATGTTGAGGAAATTCCCCACTATTGTGTCAATATTTTGAATTTTTTTTAAGAAAAAAAAGGGAAAAAAGTGGTAGTAGTCAGGTAAGCAAAAATAGTTTTATATTGCTATTTTGTAGATTGAAAGATGGTGGAAGGAATTGCATGAGAGGATGGAGAGGTATTTTAAGGATGGTTTGCGTTGGCTAAAAGATCAAGGTCATTATGACCCACACAAGGACTCTGATAGGTATGTGCAGTAATTTGGATCTGAAGCAGTTATCTTTGGAACCAGCTTTTTATACCTCTTAACTTCACTGTATATCATTGAAAGGAGTGTCATGTACTTCTTGAGATAATTTACTGTATCTGCATACATAAGTATCCTTTCATGACTGCTTTCAGCATTATATTTTAATGTTTTGGCAGATTGCTCTTGGCCTTCATCATGGTACCTCTTATCCAGAAGGAGTTACATATTTTCAGAGAAACAGTGTGGAACTCACACAGGATCAGAGCACAGAGAGACACTGCACTTCCAGATGGTGTACCAGACCACATGTATAACTTCCCTGAGAAATATGGGTATGAAGAGTGTGGTATGTGCCATATTATCCTGTGCCTTATAAATGAATGTACAATGTGGATCCAGTACTTTCATTCAAGAAATTAA